CATTCTTAACACATGCAAGTCGGACGGGAAGTGGTGTTTCCAGTGGCGGACGGGGGGGTAACGCGGAAGAACCTGCCCTTGGGAGGGGAACAACAACTGGAAACGGTTGCTAATACCCCGTAGGCTGAGGAGCAAAAGGAGGAATCCGCCCGAGGAGGGGCTCGCGTCTGATTAGCTAGTTGGTGAGGCAATAGCTTACCAAGGCGATGATCAGTAGCTGGTCCGAGAAGATGATCAGCCACACTGGGACTGAGACACGGCCCAGACTCCTACGGGAGGCAGCAGTGGGGAATTTTCCGCTATGGGCGAAAGCCTGACGGAGCAATGCCGCGTGGAGGTAGAAGGCCCACGGGTCGTGAACTTCTTTTCTCGGAGAAGAAGCAATGACGGTATCTGAGGAATAACCATCGGCTAATATATTAAATTATAATTTTTCTGTTAAATTATATTTAAATGATCAAAAATATATATTAAATTATATTTAAATGATGTTTTAATATAAACAATAATTAATTATTGCTTCAACGCTTAATATATTACGACTGCATAATTAGGGTAGTCAAAACGACTTTTTGTTCGTGAACAACTCGCGTTCGACTCGCTAAGCAAATGAGTCGAAAACAGACATACTTTTTCTGTTCGAAATATGAACGAGCCGTACATGAACATTGTTATTTTTTAACGAGTCGAGTATGAGCGGAGTCTGGGTCGTGTTCTGCTCGTTTAAACCCCTAATGACATCCATCTCACAATAAAATAGTAAATTTTATTCAGCACATCCTCATATAAATAAAACAGCAAACCCAGAAGCATAATTTATATCAATCATCTGAATGAAACTTTATAATTAGTATCTGCTGCGCAATTTAAGTCACTACATGGGGTCGGGTACATGAATCCTTTTGTCTCCACTGTCTTATTTAGTGTCATATTTTTTTTTAATCCTAGTAAATTAAGATCATTTTTAATACAACAAGCCCAAGTCTTCCTAGGTCTACCTCTGTCTTTCTTAACACAAGTCGAATCTAAAACATCTACTCTCCTAATCAGATCATCAAATGATCGACGTCTAATGTGACCAAACCATCTAAGACGACTTTCTCTAATTTTGTCCGTCACAGGAGCTACACCAACCCTATTGCGCAATTTAAGTCTGCCAAAAAAAAAAATGAACAGTGGATTTATTAATTCTTTATGCTGCTTCCAAAGAATACATCCAAACAAATAAAACCAATACAAATCTATTTATTCAACACAGCTAATCATTCAATGAAACAACAACACCAACAACCCCTCATTCTCTCAAATAATCAAAAAATAAAATAAATCTTAAGCCGAAGAAAACAAAAGCGCAAGAAGCAGACTGAGAAGAAGGCGAACATAAACATCAGCATTGAATCTATTTGCAGCACCTGTGTCTGTCGATGGAACATTTTTCGTTCCACCGCCTGCATCCAATCATTTTAAAATTAAAATCAAACTGAATAAAAGAGAATAAAACAAAAACCAAAATGTCAGTTTGATTCAAAAATGTCACCTGAAGGACTATTTGATGTGGACGGAGTGGTACCAGTGGAAGGCGGGGATGAAGAGGCTGCAAAAATGTCCAGCTTTATCATATTGGCCAAAGAGATTTAAATAAAAGCAGGGTCAGATCGCGTTCGGGTTCGGGTTCGGGTCTGACATGAATAATATAGTCCAACTCGAACCTGGCCCACCTACAACCTGCCGTCCCGAATCCAACATATAAACCCGTTTAACTATAATAGCTATTCGAGTCAAATTCATGGCCATTTTGGGTCAAGTTTGACTTAGTTTCGGGTTGGCAGGTCAATTTCAGGTTAGTGGTTAATTTCTGATCAATTTTAGATTGGCATGTCAGGCCAGACCCAGTCCAAAAAATTCAACGGTTTATTATTTCTATCGCAAACCTAACTTAGAAATTACTTGGGTCAATTTGAACCTAAATTTTTCAAGTTGACTTCTGGTCTAGTTGATGTGTCGGGTAAATTTTTAAGATTCCTAAACAAAATGATTTGACAAAGATGAAGCTTACTACTGCATTGGCTAATTGGCGGCGTATGAACCTTGCAAGCGGTAGGCAGAGCGAGCGCCTTGGTCGTGTTGATGGAGATGCCGAGCCCGGACGCAGCGTCCCCATTGAGCACCGCACACAGGCACTGAGGTTCCGAGTTGACCACTGAGTTGAGTTGGGAGCAGCACGAGCTCGGTGGCGTCATTGCGTTGCCCGAGATGAAGTTCAAGCAGGTCGAGAGGCTTAAGAGCGCGGAAGTGCAGGAGGAGCTCGACGACTGCGCGGCGGAGCCGGCAAAGAGGGTGGATAGGAGGAAAGCAAAGAGGGTGAGTTGGTATCCATTAAGAGCCATATGGGGGAATGTAGAAGTGGCAGAGGCTGGAATTAGGAAGCTTAGGGTTTAGAATGGTGGAGGAGACTGTGGAGGATGATTGGGTTTTATAAGGAGTAGAGAGTTGAGCTGAGGTTGGTGAGCTGCTCTTCCTAATGTCCAACAGGTTGCTTTTGGCTTACTATGATTTGGTTGGATAACTAACTAATAGCTGTATTTATCTATCTTTCTTGGACGATAGAACAAAAAAATATAGAATGAAGTGTTGACTGAGCGAGATGAGCAAAGAGAGTTTGAATTTGTCTATCAAGTCATTGCATACTTTTGTCTTTTGTTTTCTTTATGGGATCTTTGCTCAGATTCAACTGAAATTGTATTTATATTGACTTTGGGCATCTACGACTACATACATACCATCGAATTCATGTGTATTTACAGATCTAATAGCTAAGCTTAGCCTTTTTTACATTTATACCACTAAAATCTTTCCTATTACATAATAAATGTCTAGATTTTAACTTTTAAAAAGTGAAATAAATTTTTACATAGATTGATAAGGTGGGTATGTACATAAAATTTGAAGTTTAGGTGTTAGGCATGTAAATAGATTGGAATTGGGTGGTATGTATGTAAGTCTTTCTAGTTTTTAAAGACAATGGCAAAAGAGGAGAAGAAGAGAGATTGAAGAAAGATAAGTAGCTAATCTTGATATTTCATTATAAGCATGCATTCATACAAGAGACCGGAGATATACATAGAAAGATAGACAGAGTGGCATACTTGTAAATGTAGCCAAGGATACAATAGACATTTATATATACAGCTAATGTAACTTTTCCTTTAATGTAGGTAACCCTAGCTGCTCTAGATCGAGGAAGAGGAGGCGGCAAGGGGCTAACACGAGGAAGGGGAGTCGAGCCAATCTCGTAGAGGATGATATGTTGGTTATCCCCCTTCAAGCTGATGGTCGAGGGACGAGATCGTCCGCTTGTTGGTAAGGTCCTTATGTTGATTGATCGAAAGAGCTTTGGTAAGATGATCTGCAACTTGATCATCAGATATTAAGTGGTGTATAGTGATGTGCTTGAGCCGGAGATGATCTCTAATGAAATGGTAATCAACCACTATGTGCTTAGTACGTGTGTGAAACACTAGGTTGTGGGCCAAAGCGATAGTTGAAGTGTTGTCGCTATAAAGAGTAGTGGGACGAAGTTGCGTGGGTGTTTTTAGGCCACTAGGCCGGCCGGCCATGGTTGAGCTAGTGGCTAGGTGGTGCAGGGAAACCAAGGGGAGATTTAATTGTGATCAGGATGGGGGTTTAATCTTGCGATGATAAGCTTAAGTCATTTAGCCAAAAATGGAAAGATATCCCACAAATCAAGAGACTCTTGATCCATGGCACCACTAAGGTGGGCTAGGTGGATCTAGGGTGACTCTTAAGGTTTAAAATGTGGTTGTGATGCCCAAGGTTGGGCTAAACAAATGGCTTGAAGTGAGTTTAGGAATTGGATTCAAAACCATGGGATTTTGCTTGGACTTGGGTTTGGGCTTAGCCAGAGTTTAGATTTAGATCAACTAAAGGTTCAATTTGGTGTATAATATTGTCATGAGTGATTGGGAAGTCAATTAGGTGGAAATTGAGAGGTTATGGAGTTCAATTTGATGAAATTTTGATTTTTTGGCTACATTGGGGGTTTTGACTTAAATTGGATTTGGGTTAGGTTTGGGTTAGGGTCTAGGCCAATTGAGGGTTCAAATTGGTATAAAGGAGTGTTATGAAGAGTTTATGATTCAAAATTGGGGAAATTGGATTGGTTATGGGGTTCAATTTAACGGAATTTGAAGGTATGGTTAAATTGAAGATTTTGGCCTAAAATTGAAATTAGGGTTTGTAGGTTGGTTCAATTGGATTTCAAATTGGTGTAAATTGGGTAGACTTATTGATGTTCGATTTGGGTTTGAAATTGGGTGAAATAGGAGTGAATTTTGTGGAAATTAGGATGAATTTGGGAAATTTGGACATTTAGGGGCAAATTGGGATTTTGGTTAAAGTTTTTTTATTTGGTCAAATTGGGCCCAATAGGTGGTTAAGATTGGTTTAGAGGAGGTTTGGAATAATTTGGGAGGTTTTGGGAATTTTTTGAACATGAGGGATATTTTGGTAATTTTGGTAAATTTAAGAGCATTTTCGGAATTTTGAGAATTTTGGGGTGTTTTGGGCAATTTAAGTGGTTTGAAATTGTTTTCCATGATTTCTTAAAAGAATTTGAGAATTTGAGCAATTTTGGGAAAATTAGGGTTTCATGGGCATTTTGGTAATTATGGAAAAGTTTGGGGCTAAAAGGCCAAAATTGATTTTTTTTGCTAAATTGGGGTTTAATGAGAAGACTAATCACAAAATTACCTTTATGGTGCCATGAGACTAAGGAAATCTTCTATTTTAGACCCTTCATGTGTTGGTCTTAGCCATCCTAGCCAAAGGCTAAGGGTTTGGGGGACCAGCCACATGAGTGTCTAAAGCCACATGAGTTTCTAAAAGAGTAGGGAATCAGGCTAAGCATGTTTAGTTTAGGATTTTAAGTTGTGAGTAAAAGTGAGGGGTTCAAGTGTGTGTGTTTGAAACTGACTAAGACCATATCACCCAGGGCTAACCCTAAGGACAGACAGTCCTATGAGAACTCTTCTAGAGCTCCCCCATGTTAGTTCCATCCTACTAAGTGCTAGAGGTTAGAACCAAACATGTGGAACTCCAAGAAAAACAAAGATATGTATGTAAAATTTCTAAGGGGGGAGGGTTTCATCACTAGTCCTCTAGGATAGTCAACAGGAAGGTTTTATGGCTAGATACTAGGCTTCTAAGTAAGAAAGACTAGACCCAATAAAAGTGAGATCAATAAGTAGTAAATCTACAGGTGGAGTTGTAATAAGAGTTGATCAAACTTGACAATGATCAACACACTGTAAAAGGAAAGAACATTTTAGATAGCTCAAACAACGACAATGGCTCGAAAATTGGTAGATTTTAATTTTTGGCTCAGATAAAAATCAGATCTACTTAAATGACACAAGTTTGAGCATGAATTTTGGATCAAATTTCTTTTGAGCCGACCATAATTAACAGCCTACTGAGGTTTTTATATTCTCGAAGAACAATAATCGATGAACATTTATTCATATTTTACCTATAATCTTGGTTGTCAACCACAATTAATAGCCTATTGCTGCTTGCGCTCCTGTGTAGTAGAGGTAGTGTGGGCCTTTAATGCACGCTATAGTCGGGGTAGAGGTAAGGGCGAGGGCAGGGATTGGGGTGGGGTGGGTATAACAGTGGGGGTGGAAATGGAGTTCGGGGCAGCGTGAGAGTGTGGGTGGGGGTAGGGGTGGAGGTGGGGAAGGAGGCAGGAGCAGGGGCAGGGGCAATGTTGGGGGCGGGAGCGCATTCGGGGGCAGGGGTGGGGTTGGGTGTGGGAGCTAGGGTGGGAGTGGGTGGCCAAGGCGGGGGGGCTCTGTGGAGGTGGGGAAGGAGGCAGGAGCAGGGGCAGGGGCAATGTTGGGGGCGGGAGCGCATTCGGGGGCAGGGGTGGGGTTGGGTGTGGGAGCTAGGGTGGGAGTGGGTGCCAAAGTCGGGAGGCCTCTCCTGACATTCTTCTTTATCAGATAGCGATGTGCTCCACATCTTCCCGAGTGGGGAGGGAGACCTTCACTGCCTCCAGTCGACATCTGCAACAAAGAGAATAAATTTTAGTAATTAGTGTAAATAACAACATAGTACGTAATAAACTAAAACTCAGGATATGAGTGATGCGGTTTGATTGCACACTATAAAGCCATCTGAGCATGAGTCAAGCCAAACGTCACGTACCACTGCAGCAAACTCAGATATGAGCGATCAAAATATTTCCACACCTCCTCACTTGTTGGATGACTCATTGAGTTGTTTTCTCCTGTTTTGCTTTGACGCCACATCATATGTCGAGTAGTATGCATAGAACTGTACAACCTCTGTAGACGTGGAAAAAGTGGTAGATAAAAGAGCCGCTTGAACAGAACTTCCTTCTGCATCCTACTTTTTCTGATATGAGGTTTCAATCTAGGAGAATTATAAAAATCTACATTGAGTCTCTATCGTGCTACTCTTGTAATAAAGCATGCATCCATTTACATAGCAATCAATCTTCTCTACTTTAAAGCCTAACTTGTAGACCAACTTTTTCTCTGTATAAATCTTCATAAACTAAATTTTCTGATGGATTAGTCTCTTTCAGCATACCTGCAAACTGATTGAAGCACTCTCAAGGTTTGTTGTACTCTATTTTAATTTTCAGCATTCTAAGAGCTACAGATAACTTAGTGTGAGACGTGCAACCCTCCCACAGTGGCCTTTGAGCAGCATTCAATAAATTACAAAATGTTCGAGCCTCTGGATTTAGTGTCACTTTCTGCTGCACTTGGCCTGCATAATGATGTCTTTTTCCATCAAAGATCATTTCTTCAAATCTGTTTGAGTCAAATCCAGGTAAAGGATCATAACTCGTCGAAGGGGCAAAGCTGAATGTTTTATGATCAACCTCCCCATATAAAGTCTAAGTCCAGTAATCAGATTGAAATCCTCGACAGTACAGATCATATCTCATTTTGTGAAGCATTAGGTGTACTCAATTTCTGTGTTTCAAACATGAATACTGAAAACTACCCTCAGATAAATAAATCGGCTGTTGAGATGCAGCTTCCACAAATGTCTTGACACCGTTCAAGAACTCCTCGGTGATCCATTTTCTATCCAGATAAAGTAGATTGTACATCCACGATCTCGATGTATGAATATTAGTATGCACATTCAAACCTGTGAATAATTAACACAATATAAAGTTCATTCAACCAAATATATTGTATTTAATTATAGTAGTAGATCTAAAAGCGGAGTTGTACAAGAGGTGATCAAATCTTACAATAATCAAAACATTGTAAAAGGAGAGAACGTTTTAGATAGCTCGAACAACGACAATCACTCGAAAATTGGTACATTTTAATTTTGACTCCGATAAAAATCGGATCAAATTAAACGCAAGTTTCAAGCCATAAATTTTGGATCAAATTTCATTCGAGCCGACCACAATTAAGCTCGAAGTCTAAACATTAACAACATACTGAGCTTATTAGGCTGTCGAAGATCAATAATCGACGAACATTTATCCATTTTTTAAATCTTGGTTGTCACTAGGCTACGCTACTTCTTTTACAAGTATATTTTTTTCACATTTTTTCGACAAATATAAAGCCACTTATCCACCTAAGCATCCTCGTCTCAACATTTTTTACTAGATTTCTTTCACCTATAAACAAGTTCTGAGAAGGAAATGTTTCATATTACATAAGAGCGTTTACTTCATCATCCAATCAAAAATCTAATTCCCATTTCAAAAATGAAAATTCACTTCAACCATAATCTTTCACATCACAAAAAATACCACTATATTATTTTTTAAAAATTTAAAATAATGATATTTTTGATGTGATACGAAAGAATTAGATTATATAAATGCAAAAAGTGAAGGTGTTGGATCTATATTTACACATCCAACACCCAAACCTTCTTACATTTACACCATCTAAATCATCCCTATCACATAAAAACTATCATCATGTTAACTTTTCAAAAGTGAAATACACCCTCTCATGCATGCATAAAATGGCAAACATAAGAAAACTGAAGCTTTGGTGTTACATACCTAAATAGATAAGAATCTACTGGTATGCATGTAAATCTACTAATGCTGAGTCTCTAATAAAAGAATCAAACTCCCTTCATTCGTAACATTTCATCTCTTCTGAAATCATTAATACCAGTCCCAAAATCAGCACTTAATTAGATAAAGAACAATATCTGCTTGACAATTCAAGTTTATGCAAAAACAATAACAGAACTGTGGATTTATAAATTCTTTATTCTGCTTCCAAAGAATACAACAACATACATCAATACAGATCTATTGTTCAGAGCAGCTAAATCATTCAATGACACAACAACAACAACAACAACCCCTCTTTCTCTAACATAAACAAAAAAATAAAAAATAAAAAACAATAAAAAATCTTATGAAGAGATGGCTGAAGCTGAAGAAAACAGAACCATGAGAAGCAGACTGAGAACAAGAGGAACAGAAATATCAGCAGTGATTCCATTTGCAGCACCTGTGTTTACCGATGGATTGTTTTTCGTTCCACCACCTGCATCCAATCATTTCAAAATCAAAAACAAAAATAAAAGAAGACCACAATCTATCCATTAAATTCAAAATTCTCGCCTGAAGGACTATTTGGTGTCGATGGAGTGGTACCAGCGGACGGCGGTGACGAAGAGGCTGCAAAACAGTCCAGCTTTAACAAATTGCCCAAAGAGAATTAAACAACAGTATAGGTGTTAAATCGGATTCGCGGATTGGGTTCTGGTTCGAACCAAATTGACTTGAGCCAAAATTGCTTGACCCAAACCAAACTCGCTATCAACTAGCTGCCCCGAGCCTAACCCGTATAACCCATAAAGTATAAGAGTTATTCGGATCAGTTTTGGAAGAAATTCGTGTCGATTTTGGGTCAATCTAGAGTTAATTTCAGGTTGGAAGGTCAATTTAGAGTCGATTTCAAATTAGCGGGTACGTTTCGAGTCAATTTAGGCATGGTAGGTCACCAGAACCTGACCCAAAAAAATTAAACGAGTTAGCATTCCTAAACAAACCGGACGCAAATTATTTGAGTTAACCCGAACCCAGATATTTCGAGTCAAAATTGGGTTGAGTTGGCATGTTGGGTCATTTTTTTACGCCCCTAACCAAAAATATCCAAAATTTTGGCAAACATGAAGCTTACTGCTGCATTGGCTAATCGGCGGCGTCTGAACCTTGCAGGCGGCAGGCAGAGTGAGCGCCCGAGTCTTATTGATGGAGATGCCGAGCCCAGACCCAGCGTCCCCATTGAGCACCGCACACAGGCACTGAGGTTCTGAGTTGACCACAGAGCTGAGTTGCGAGCAGCACGAGCTCGGTGGGGTCGTCGCGTTGCCCGAGATGAAGTTAAGGCAAGGCGAGAGGCTTAAGAGCGCGGAAGTGCAGGAGGAGCTCGACGACTGCGCGGCGGAGCCGGCAAAGAGGGTGGATAGGAGGAAAGCAAGGAGGGCGAGTTGGGATCCATTGAGAGCCATTTGGGGGAATGTAGAAGTGGCTGAGGCTGGAGTTAGGAAGCTTAGGGTTTAGAATGGTGGAGGAGTTTGTGGAGGATGATTGGGATTTATAAGGAGTAGAGAGTTGGGCTATGGTTGGTGAGCTGCTCTTCCTAATATCCAACAGATTCCTTCTGGCTTATTATGATTTGGTTGGATAACTAACTAATAGCTGTATATTTATCTTTCTTGAACGATAGAACAAAAATAAAAGAATAGGTGTTGACTGAGCGTAATGAGGAAAGAGAGTTTGAATTTGTGTATCATGTCATGACATAGTTTTTCGTTTGTTTTTCTTTATTGGATCTTTGTTCAGATTCAACTGAAATTGAATTTTTATAACTCTGCATTTACATACATGCCATCCAATTCATATGTATTTACAAATCTAACAGCTAAACTTTGCCTTTTGCATTTATACCACCAAAATCTTTCATAGCACGCATAAAATATTGTGATTTTAGTTTTTAAAAGGTGAAATAAATCTTTTCATGCATTATGTAAGTATTGAAGTTTAGGAGTTATGTAAGTATTAAACTTCAATATATGCAAATATTGAAGTTTAGGAGTTACGTATGCAAATAGATAGGAATTGGGTGGTACGTATGTAAATCTTACTTGTATTTATATAACTCTTTTGATATGTTATATCCATGAATGCATGAAGTGTTGAACAATGGAGCTAACCAAAGTGAATCAATTAAGGAAAAAGAGAAGAAAATCTTGGAGTGAGAAGCTTGATTAGATAGACTAATCCTCTGAGTTCCTAGTAATAATTTTGATGTAAAATGATCATGATTAGATAGACGATAAGTTCTAACGAAGCATTCGACGACTTCACTTTGAGACGACGAATAATTTTAAAACTTGGGTTGAGTTCATTTGGTGAGTTGGGCGAGTAGCATTGATGAGTTCGAGTGAACTCAACCCAATTTTACCTTGTCTTATGAACTCAACCCAATTTTACCTTGTCTTTGTTTCTAGTTCTAGGGAAGGAGTCAGCTAATAAATTGGTCAGATGAGTGTCATTGCCAGTAGTAACTAATGTGTAACTAATGTATCATCCAATAGATTCTCTAGCTCGAGTCATCCTCCGTTCTTCTTCTTCCTCCTCGTGTAAACCTAACATTCTTCATCCAAGGATTGGCTCACCTGATCAGCAGAATGGTCATTTTCCGCGATCGTCGACAACGAAGTAGAGATTCTGCGGCTTCGTCCTCTCTCCCGCGCGCTAGCTTTCTGCGTCGGCGTCCAGTTTCGACGTTGTGCTTCTGCTTTCCGCGCCCGACGGTTCTTTCCTTCATTTTCGATGCTTCTTTTGTTCATGTTTGCGCCAGTGCTTCTCTCAAGCCTGACAGCAATTCTTCTATTTTGCTTCTGCGCCCGTCTCTCTCCAGTCAGACGCAAGCTTCTCGCTGCAGATGACAGCTGGCACATCCCCTTGCTCTGATGACACTTCCTTTTTCTTTGGCTGAACCGGCAAAGGCCTCCTTTGCCCACGTGGTGGAAAACCCTCAAGTGGAGTCCGCGGTGGTATCCCCTCAAGCTATAAGGAATGTCGCGATAGTACAGATAATTGTCCTTTTGTGAAGAAGGGAAGTATGAAAGTCAGAAAAGCAGTAATTTTTTTCTTTGACTCAGAAATTTCTACCATGACAGAAAAATTTAAGTTTGCTCTAATTGGAAAATTTCAGTGGGGACACCCATCTATGGATATTATCAAAAAGAGTGTAGATGATCTTAAGCCAGTAGGTAAGTGGAAAATGGGACTTATGGATGGGAGACATGTGTTGATCCAACTAACAATGGTTGAAGACTGCACCATAATTTTTTCCAAGAAATATCTTAATATCGCAGGAAAATCTATGAAGTTACTCAAGTGGTCTCCTAATTTCGACCCAAATCATGAAACTCTCACTGTACCGGTATGATTTAGTTTACCTGGTCTCAAGCTGCACTTTTTTCACCATTAGATTCTCTACTCTATTGGGGTCATCCTAGGGGATCCTTTGAATCTAGATCTGCCTACTTTCAACCTAACCAGACCCTCGATGGTCAAAATACTTGTGGAAAGAGATATTACTTTACCGGATGTTACTGAAGTCTGGCTGGGCACAACCCACAATGGATATTGGCAACAAATCGTAATGGAACACAGACCCTCATATTGTACCCACTGTAAGATGTTTGGTCATATCCTTGATAAATGCCACAAACTTCATCCTAATTTAAAAACTAAGGTTCAAGTGAATAAGGATGGGTCTAACCACACAGCTCTGAACATTTTAGTTCCACCTGGGGAGGATACTACCAGACGGGAGGTGTCTGTTGCCCCTGAGGACCCCTCGATGACATTGTTATTATTGTTACTGCCAGTGATGTGATGTTGGTGCCTTCAAACCCCATAGAAAATAATAATGATGGACTATTACCTACAAATGATAGTGTTCAGACTGATAATCAGGAGAGCCTCGAAGCTCCACTTCTTCGGGAAATATCCAGCGTAAAGGCAACTCATACTTCACATATACTAGAACCTATTGTGAGTACTACGGTTGGTATTCCTTTTGCTTCAGCTCTTCCTTTTGCTTCAGCTCTAGCTCTACCACCCCATCAGACTGATTCTTAGGAAGAGGAATGGCAGGTCTATTCCAGGAGGAAGAAGAAGAATGGAGGCTGACTCCAGCTTGAGAACATATTGGATGATACATTGGTTACTTTTGGCAATGGCAAGCAATCATCTTACCAGCTTATCTTACCAGCTTATTAGCTTGCTCCTTTCCTAGAACAAGAGGTAGAGGCAATGTCATATTGGATCGCTCTCTAGCCACATGATACTATGTATTTCGGCACTGTTAGACTTTTTATTCAAGTATCTAATCTATTTTTTTGTTTTTTCTAGTTTTGAAACCATTTGTGGTTTTTAAGTTAGCAGGGTTTCATGTTTGGGTTCTCCCACACATTGTATCTATATCTTTCTTTCTACTTAATATATTAGCCTTTTTTGGCTTTCAAATATATATATATTAGTTTCCATCAGAATTAAATGTATCAATTTTCAATTATTGTTGAGGAATTCATCATACCCGTTGTTAATTTATTCTTTTATTTTAAATTATACTGGATTGAAGATCAATTGATAGTAGAAAAAATTTCTGGTGAATGAACATTTTAAGGTTGCAAATGAGATTGAATTAAATGATAATAAATATGATGATTTTTTGAAGATGATAAAAGCAATAATCAGTCCACTATGAATCTTGAACCTCATTGAATATTTAAAGTTTAAGTGAATGTTTACTTTTAATCATATTCAAATTTTTATTTTAAATCAATATCTAATATTATGATTTGTGATTTTTGTCTTTATGATAACAAACTAAAATCACTATATCAATGATTTATATTATATTTATGAATTATTTCTAATTTCAACGATTTTCTTTTGCTTACATATAGATCCTCCTCAAGGCTTACACCTCGCCAAGCTACGCTAGAGCAAAATGCCTCAGTTCCCAATTTCACCTTTTTAAACTTTGAGCACCATCACCCTCTAATTGTAGCGGCAACAACGAAGCAACCGCCATGGCCCATTATCATTATTTTCCAATAACCCCCATCATCAGTCGCTGCCAACAATCAATGCCAAGGCTGTCAAAATGGTTTGTCATTTATGAATAACTCATGTTCAACTAGTTAAGTAGCTCGTGTTCAATTTGTTTGCTAAGCAAACGAGTCGAATATGAACATTTTTTTAGCAAAGATTTGTCCGTTCGTGTTCGACTCATTTTGGCTCAAAATAATTAAATTAAATTTATATATTATATAATTGATGAGTATTATTTTTAAATAATTTAATTGACTACAAGGTTACAAATTTATAATCAATTATTAATTTTAAAATAGAATATATTAAATTCTATTTAAGTGAATATTTTAATATAATTAATAAAATTTAAATCTCTCCTCTATCCTTAATATCATACAGTTGTGTGACTAGGGATGTAAAAACAGCTCATTGTTCACGAACAGCTCGTGTTCAGCTTGCTTAGTAAACAAGCCGAACACGAACAACTTTTTTTGCGCTCGATATATTAACATACTGAACACGAATAATATTATTTTTTAACAAGTCGAACACCCCTATTCATTGCCTCCATCAACCACTGTCACCTCTCAACAGTCAATCATCGCTGCCGCCGTAGCCATTTCCCCTGCAAAGAGCTACCGTCACCGCTATAGGTCACTGCCATCTCCCACCACTCATCGCCATCATCGTCGGCAACAACCACTGTTACCAAACAAAAAGAGCTACCGTCACCAGTATTTTACATTAATTTTATTTTTCTTCAAACCAAACAAAAAGATATAAACTCTCATAATTATCTTACATCAAACCAAACAGCTCCAAAATATTTTAAATACATTACATTTTAATTACACTGCATTCATTTCATACATATTCATTTTTTTAGCAAACCAAAAAGCCCCTTAAATAATTCTTATGAATATAATTGAAATTATGATGTCAGATAAAATATAATTGAAATTATGATGACACACATACAACTCCAAAGCATCACCGGTTTGTGAACCCCTAAGTCACATCACGACAATTATCTGACCCACTAAACTATTTGTGTAGCGCTAGACCGTCATTGAAAGCATGGTGTTCCATAAATGTCAATTGTGAACAACAAGCTTTGGTGCTCTGTCACACCATTTGCATAACATGATACAATTGAGTCAAAATAGTGTTATTTACACTATTTAAAGGTTATAACACAAAGCACATTGCCCTTGAGACATGCGTTCCTTAATTGTTCTAATTTATTAGTTAAATCTATTATCAAACTTAGTTAATTAATTTTTCATTAATTTTATTTCCTTTTTGTTAGGAGTTTAGGACTTTCCTAACGTAAATCACACATGTGATCCAACCCTAGTTGAGACTTCGAAGTCTTCATAACTTACATCCAAGCAATTGCTTAAACTCGTAGCAAACGATAGCATTGACTCAAGGCAATGATGACTTTGAGTCCAGGTGATGACAACGACTTCGAAACCAGGCGAGAACAGCGGCTTTGAATCCAGGTGATGAAGACAGCTTCAACTTTAGTAGAGGACTTCAACTCCAATTGACATTGACAACAAAACCTCTTCGTACTCGATTGTTCTAAGAAAGATATGGTTAGAGCCTTTTCGCCTACAAGTCATCGTGTCTTCTTGTGCAAATGTTTACGGTTTACGATGATTTTATGCTTGTGACTGGTTGTGGATGGCTACACGTAGAAATTTAATTTAAAGGTTTAGG